TTGAGGGGGTACGTTAATTTGTTGACGTGTTCCGGCGATTTCCAGAAATCTGTCTCTTTAGGCAGATAACGTGGGTGGCAAATTTCGAAATGAAAGCCCCTGTTTGTACATATGTACATACACAGATGCGTGTATAACAGTATATGTGTTATGTGTATGTACACATACCTACATTTATGTCGATGGTTTCTATTCGCATCGACGCGCATGCTCGTAAATAACACAGTATCGTAGTATAAGGTGATTTAAAAAGTGCGCTAGATTTGAATTGCTTGAAAGAGAGTTTTGGCATGCCATCAAAGTAGAGGGGGCCATGCCCTAAGTCATTTTTCACACCTAGTTTGTGAAAGTTTGATCCAACCGGTTCATCTTAATTCTAAAGATATTTGAAAAAAAATAGAACTCCTTTTTTAATGTATTAAATCTGCCGCGCTTTTTAGAATCACCCTATGTACAGGGTGTTTTCTAAGTTGGGGTTTTCCTTTTTAAATGACGTGGAACTTAAAAAAATACAGGAGTTTTCCAAGTAACATTTTCTCGACAGCTCAAAAATAAAAGAGATATGTTCATTTCAAATAATATCAAAAATCAAATATTTTAATAATTATATTTTTTAAAATACAAAAGGTAAAATTCTTGAATTAAATATTTTTTTTCTAGAAATCTGTCTCTTTACGCAGATAACGTGGGTGGCAAGTTTTGAAATGAAAGCCCTGTACATATTTACGTATAATATGCATAAGGCTATTGTCGAAATTCTCGAATGTAGGGCTGAGAAATCTTACCTCTTTAGGACAATGTGACCATTCAATTGTAGTTATATTTACCAAAATACAGTAAAAAAATCAACTGGTTATAAATCGGTTTTTATGAGCCAGTAATGCTACATTTTTGAGAAAGGGGACACTGCAGACCAAACCATTTATTTGGTGGCTCAAATCGAATTTCGAATTATTTATAAAATTATCTCATTATTCACCTGAAAAATTAACTGTTAACTGTTAATAATTACATTTGCATAATCACCTAATCAAGGTATTTTACATCTGTTCACTCTAGTAGCTACTACTTTTGCAACTTTTCGCAACAGAAAAGTTGGGCGTATTATCAATACGAAGATGCTCGAGAAGATTTAGCCGGTGATTGATGAATAAAGTATTACCGTGAAGTCGCCAACTTTTGAGTGTAGGACTGGAGAAATGTACCTCTTTATTTGTAGGACAGTGTAACCATTTAATTGTAGTAATATTTACTAAGCTACATTGAAAAAATCAACTGGTTATAAATCATTTTTTATGTAACGTATCTGCTACATGTTTGAGAAGGGGGACAGCCTAGATCAAACCATTTATTTTGTCGGACAAATGTCGTTTCATATTATTTATGAAACTATCTCAACATTTAGCTACAAAATTAACTGTTATTATTTACATTTGGATGATCACCAAATAGACATGTTTTTCACCTGCGCACTCTGTTAGCTACCTGTTTTTGGAATTTTCACAAAAGAAAATTTGGGCGTCTTATCAAAATGAAGATGCTCACGAAGATTGAGCCGGTTATTAATGAAAAAAGTTAAATCGTGAAATTGACAACTTTTGAGTGTAGGACTGAAAATAGCTACCTGTTTATTTGTAGGACAGTGTGACCATTTAATTGTAATAATATACTCCTGGACAAAATTATCGCACCACTGCTTATGGTGATGCTTATGTGCAGTGGTGCGATAATTTTGTCCACGAGTATATTTACCAACCTACATTGAAAAAATCAACTTGTTATTAATCATTTTTTATGCAACGTAATTTCTACATGTTTAAGGGGGGGGGGGACATCGTAGACCCTCTATTTTGTCGGACAAATGTTGTTTCAAATTATTAATAAAATTATCTCAACATTTAGCTAAAAAACTAAATGTTATTAATCAAATTTTCATAGTCACCAAATCGACATTTTTTACACCTGCGCAGTATCTTAGCTACCTGTTTTCGCAATTTTCATGAGAAAAAAGTTGGGCGTCTCGGTGAAATGAAGCTGCATTGAAAAAACTAGCTTGTTATTAATTATTTGGAAAAAAGGGCCTCGGCCCCTCGACTAGAAGCTCGTAACGATATCTGAGAAAAACTGCCTCGTGATTAATCCTGAATAAAATAACTCCTGAAACTACTTCTCATTGAATTGCAACATTATTTTTTGTGGTTTTTTCGGAAACCTTTTGATAGATAATTTATAATAAACATTTTAATTTTAGTTTTATTTGATTGTACTTCAATTTACTTTTATTTTCAGAAAACTCTCTTTCTGCATTTTAAGTCCCCCAAATATTTCCCAAGAGCCATTGATAAATAATTATTCTTCACTTTTCACTTTACTCGTCCAGCTTGTTTGCTGTTATGTATAATTTAAAATTGAACCGTCTTTCATATTCTCACATACATATAAATTATAAATCGACGTTTAATTATTTCACCGCGACCCATTTAAAAACAATAGCCAAAGGAAATGCACAAAGATATAAGAGCAGAGAATAGTCGCGTTTATATTAAATCCCCTCGAGGTATTTAGGTAATATCTAAATGAAAAGCAAACAAAACCACCACAAATAATAAATATAGAAATGCGTCGCCTAGTTTCATTGTTTAACCTTAACACTTCTTATGGTTTTCAATTGGAGGCTTTGAAATATGGATTTTCCTTCCTTCATTACGGAAAGCTTTAAATATGTCAACTTTGTATATTTCGATTTTGATTCAAAATAAATCCCAAGATTAAAATTTTGCAAACATAAGCATTTCAATTTATATTCGGATGTATAAAGAGGATTTTCGGACATTGCACTTAATAGAAAATGTAATAATATCGGAAACTTCTTAATAAAAAATTAAAAACATAATTTTTCTGTTTCAGATAAAAAAAAAACGATTCATGTTTATGATAAAAAAATAAAAAAACCAGGGTGAATAATATTATGGTGACACGAACCCTTAACGCACGTGCCTTAAAACATTGTTGCTGACATATCACGAGATTACTAAAAATATTATTGGAGCTCCTTTTTCATTGACAAAAATTGGATTTCAAGACTTTCTCTTTAATCTCATTACTTCCTCAAGAGTGGCTTCTTATGTATAATAATTAAGTGGCTGATGGTGGTGGAATTAAGGTCTATCGTAAACTTGGAAACTTATAGCTTGAATTTTGAGAACTAGAATTATGTACCTACGTGGTTTGGCTAAATAAATAATGAAAGCAACAAAACCATGATACACTCCACCAAAATCGTTGAGGGATTCTTTTGAATTTTTAAAAATGCAGCTTCTTTATCCAATGTGGTGCATATTTTAAGCCTGCTTGCACTTAGGAAATTTATAACACAACTTTTTACCTGTTGCCACCTCATGGAAAGCAAAATTTGCATGTGATGAGAGCCGACACAAGTTTGGAGTTTCTAATTTAAGAATTATTTTGGCCAGTGAACTATTTACTGACGTTATGACGTCACGTTCATTGAATAGCTTCGGCCAACAAGAAAATTTGAAGACCGCGGATTGCAGGAAAAAGTCGATTCCAGGTAGACGCCACCTCATCAATGTAAGGAAGCGAACGCTGGCGACCACTGATTCCGAAGCTCCTAAACTATGGGTGTATGGAAGAAGCCCAAGCACCCTCAACAGCAAAGGATGTGATTTGTCACAGAGATTTCACGATAAGTTCAGTTGTACACCCCAACAAGGATTCTAAGGACTCTGTGGTGTTGTTAGAAAAAAAACACCACTGATGTTTTTGCGGAGACCACCCTGAGATTGGGAATTGGCAGCACCGAACTGAGGATAGAAATAATAGTTGCTCTCATAGTAGATGAGTTTATACTACGTGTGGGTGCCCTAGAAACCTTCGATTTTCTGTCTGTGGACAAGCTCAAACTAGTTCATAACGTCGCCAGGAGCAGATTATGGCTAAGCAGCCACATAATAAAAATGAGCCTCGACACACCATGTAACACCTTCAATAAAGATGATAGAGAACCTGTTCGGGGAAAACAGCTTCAAGGAAAGTGCACAATCTTGTAACATTGCACTATAGTAAGACAGTGAGGGGTGAGAGCAGTCCTCTCCTGTTGGTTAACAGCTTCGGGTAGAGGAACTAACAGGATAAAGGGCACTTTCTTGTCCCTGAGATGAAAAATCGTCCCAAGAGGCGGAGGAACCAGCACGAGTTCAATTGCATGAGAATGCAGAAGGCAACGCAAAACCACTGCATTGAAGGAGGTGCGAAGAATCCCCCGGTTCCAATTAGATAAGAGAAAAAGGATAGCAACGTGAATTGTGAAAACACAATTTGCAGCTTGACAATTAGATCCAAGAAATGAACAGAATGTAGTTCGATATTCTTGGTGTGAAAGAGGTCCGCTAGTCTAGCAATGGGATGCTCTAATCGAAGGGTGAAGCACTTTATTACTAGTCAATGGTGACACCGATTAAAATTATCGACACAGTGTTGGTATTTTGATAGACGAGAACTTGCAAAAATCAGTGAGAAATTTTGTCCCTCTCTCCCACTATAGAGTTTAATTATTCGGTCAACCCATTAACATCAACATAATCCAAGCTAGAGAAGCTATATTCAGTTTGCAGCAGAATTGTCAAGATTAAAGAAAGGATGTCTTTATACAGGGTGTGTTACAAATATTTTAACATGAGATAATATGGTTCATTTCAAGCTAAAACTGTCCTATTAACCATGGGTCAATTGTTAGTATTTTCGGAGTTGTCAGAATTTAAATCTAGAAAAATGTTAACAACGTGACAACATCGTACATTATTTATTTCCATCTGTTTACGTTTTGGATTGTTATTGGCTTTCAATTAATGTAAATAATAACTTGCATTTTTATCACTTTTCTAGTGAAAATAAAAAATGTGCCGTGTTATTAAGTTGGGAATTGCACTCAATGACATTTTTGCACTAAACATTAAAGAGAAAAATTAAATAATACTTACTCAGCTAGGTACTTGCCAAATCCTGAAAATGAAAATATTAATTATTTTTGTTAAAAGGTTCTCAAAACACTCAAATCAACACGCAGACTTTGCACACTCACACTTTCCGTATCACGCAATCTTTGTAAAACGGGCACAATGAAATTTTTGACAAAACCACTCGCCTGACGGCTCGTGGTTTTGTCGAAAATGTCATTCGTGACATTGCTAAGCAACAAACTTTCATACCAGTCGAAATTTTTTTTCTCTTGTGGTATTTCATATGATTTTCTTTATCTTTCAAATATTCGTCAAAAAATGTCAAAACTTCAAAGGCCTTTTTCTTAAAAATTGTTGAGTTTGGACCCCATGCAGTATAAAATTTTTTCCTACAGCCGTGCGGAAAAATCGATTTTCCGCACTGATATGCGTGCGGAAAATGAGTTTTCCCGCACGGTGCGGTAAAACTTTTTTTTTTGACATATCAGTGCGGAAAAAGTTTTTCCGCACGGCTGTCAGTGCGGAAAAAATTTTACCGCACTGATATGTCAAAAAAAAAAGAAAAATTTTACATTTTTTCGCCTGTAGGAAAAATATTGTACCTAACACTTGCGGAAAAATTCATTTTGCGCACTTGTTAGGTAAATAGCTTTTCCGCACGATTTTTCGTTTTGAAAGTTGTACTTTTCCGCACGATTTTACTTTTCCGCACTATTTTTTTACTTTTCCGCACGCTTTTTACTTTTACTGAAAAGTGTACCCATATTAAAGTTCGGTGGCCCCCTATTTGGAGGGCATAGTCCCGCGGGGGCGCCATTTTTGAGGGGCACAGTCCCGCGGGGCCCCTTTTTGGGGGGCGAAGCCCTGGGTGCTCCTTTTTGGGAGGCGGAGCCCCTTATTTGAGGGCACAGCCCCGCAGGGCCCCCTATTTTGGATGGCATAGCCCCGCGAAGGTAGGGAATCCTAACAATTTTTTTGGCCAATTTAGCTATAGGCCAAGGATCATGATAAAAAAATACGGTTCCATTATTTTTTTGTGTATAAAAAAATCGTGCGGAAAAGTAAAATCGTGCTGGAAAGTTACTTTTCCGCACGATTTTTTTATTGCTAAAAATTAAGATATTTAGGATCGAATAAATGATTTATGTTATATATTATTTTATATTATGTGCTATTTTGTACCATCATTATAAAATCTTTGCGTATTGGAACATTTTTTTTGATAAATAAGATGGACAAAAGCACTCGTAGGAAAAATATTGTACCTAACTCTTTTGTTCATAATGGGCCATATTTTAACGTGTAAAATTTTTTTTTAGTCAAAGCTGATACTCCCTGTATGCTTTATCTGTTGACTACGAGGAAGCTTGTGACAACGTTAGATATAATCTCTTGATATCATGTCATGTCTTGGAGTATTGGGACCGGATGATAAGAACATAAGACTTATTGATAGTCTTTACTGGAATCAAAAAGCGGAAGTTCGGTTAAACAACTCAACAACAAGAGACTAATTTGAAATAAAAAAAAAGTGTCAGACAAGGATGTATCTTGTCTCGAATGCTGTTCAATATGCAGAAAGAGCGTTTGAACCACTTTTGGACAGTCCCATAGGCATTAAAGTGAAAAGAATCTCCGTTTCTGCCGCTAATAATAATAACAATTATTAATAGAGGGCACGTTTTTCATTTAAATTTGAAGTACCAGCTTAGTACCAACATTTTCCGTTGGCAATTCCACTCATGTATAAATAATCCCATTTGAAATGTCAAAAATCGTAGTTTGCTAGCGAATAAATAGGAAGGAAGAGAAAATATAACTGGATAAAAAAATCGGATAAATTTTCTGTTGATGAAATCGTTACCGTAGCAACAATTGCATATAAAATTGGTTTTTGAATCATCTGTCAAATAATTGTCACAAAAATTCACAAGTTCTATCATTTTAGCTTATTAAAAGTTTATTTTTAAATAAAATTAAAAATATTTTCAACGCAGCGATTTGGGACAATTAAAGATGAATTAATAGCGAAATAGAAAATTCAATTCCTGAGAACACAGAGTCTTCTTCTCTTTCTGTAGAGTCAAATTGTAAGGGGAAAATATTTATTCTAATTGTACCTTCAATAACTGTTCATTTTAAAAAGTATTTCCATATTTTATTTTGATTATGCATTCGTGGAATTGCCGCACTAAATACCATTCGAGCTCAGATTTTGAGCAGGATATTTTTTTGCTTGCTCTCTTATACTTACTTTCATGCAATTTATCTCGATCTGTTCCACAAAATCACTCGAGCTGCGCTCTCGTGATTTTGTCGGAACAGCTCTCGTTAAATTTCCTAAAAGTAAGTATTCGGGACCAAGCCAAAAAATATCCGGCTAAATCTGAGCTCTTATGGTATTACCTACGACTATTTTTCGAAGGGAAGCTCTGCATGTTCAGTTTGTCCAATTCTTCGTCCATTTTAAGTTTTGAGTTTCAACCTAAAAGGTTGATCCTGGCGGCAGCCATCTTCCTGAGTCAAATGTGATTATCGTTCTCGTGGAAAAAGTACCCTATCGGCCATCAGGCACTAGTTTGACGAAATAAAGTTGTGTAAGGCGATGTTCCCTTAATACCACAAACATTTAAATCAGAAGTCTTGTGATTACAGTTTTCTTCAAGTTTGAATTTCGAACCTTCTGTGGTAAGTTCTTTATAATTTTTTAAATACTAATACGGTTGCTCATGGAATGCCTCTATTACTTAGGGTCTTGCTACCTTGATTCAAGGCTAGAGTCTGCAAGTTCTATCTGCAATTTCCATCGTCAAGTGACAGAAAATGGACGGCTACCGTACTCCAACGTTATCGTTGGAATTGAGGCTTGTATAGTTTCATTAATAACTTTAACCTTTTTTTTTTATGGAATCTATTTTATGATCAATTACCATAATTGATTGAATTTTTACTAATATGACATTTAGATATTTGAAATTTAATCTGACATTTTTGATACCGAAATGACGGTTAAATTAGCTATTTATACAATAAGTTACGAAATGAGCGTCTTTTAGGCACGCGACGTGAAAATTGTCCAACGAGGCAAAGCCGAGTTGGACAACACGTCGAGTGACTAAAAGACATCGTTTCGTAACGTATTGTATACAAGATTTTTTCTACTGGCATTTTATAATAAAAAAACACAATTTTATTTCATGTGAATAAGTCGATTACACCCAAAATCTTTGTTACCTGCTTTTACTTCACACCTGACACTTTTCATGCGATTTTCTTTTCAAAATTCGACATCAATAATTAAAATCCTAGAAAGTAGGTAATAACACAAACTTCTGTTTTGAGTAACCCAAACGTTCAATTCAGTAATTCCATTTTCAATATTCATAATAAATACAAAACAAAATTCAAATATGTGTTTAGTGTGTTTTTTATTTCTGAATAATGAATGACACTTTTAGGCACTAGTGCTTAAAAATTACTTTTACGCACTCATAAGTCACTTTTACGCATTCAAAAGTCACTTTTACGCACTGAGTGCCTAAAAGTAACTTTCACGCACTCAGTGCCTAAAAGAATGTCGTTTCAAAACTGAAATGACAATCGAAAAGTTGCTATTATGAAACGTCAGTAGAAAAAATTATTTATGATTTTCGATTTATCGAATTTACTATTGATTTATCTCTAATTAACTTTTAATACTGCCATTTTTTGAGAATGTTTATTTTACTAATCATTAATCTCAACTGAAGTCAAGGTTGGACAATGACTACGTTTATTTCACGGGTTGTATCCGGATACTAAGTGGATTGGATTATTAATGAGGAATAATAATCCTGAAATAAACACCATGTTATTTAGTTTTAAGTATTTGCATATTTTTTGATGAAAAACCGGTGTAAGAGGAGTGAAAATGTTTACCTTTTAATTGTTAATTAAAACTATTTTTCATCATTGTTGCTTTTAATGAAGTTAGACACAAACGACACAAAGGAATTTGCGCTTTTAACAAGGCTTGAGAAAGGATTAGCACCAATCTCAATCCATTTAATAGTTGTGGAATATACGAATATAGATTAATAATCCCTAATCCACTTAGTATCCGGATACAACGCGTGAAATAAACATATTCATTATTGTAGGCGGATCGGCAAGTTCAGGAACACGACGAGCACAATTCAATACATTTATTTCTTAATTAGTAATGTTATGTATATCACTATCTGTTCTTAAAACGCGTTCACGACCGCTATTATGAAATTTGACGATGGCTGAAACCAACCGTGTTTTTTTGGTGTGAAACTTTTGACCAGAAATAATATATTTTTTACAGGTTATATGTGTTTTGTTATATATTTTTTGTATTTACATTTAATGTCACATATATGTGACATCTGTTTCCGGTAAGTTTTTATTAAAATTTACCACCTGTCACAATGGAAAATCGTGCGACACACATGTGTGACATAAACAGTTAGCTGTTCTAGACTCTCAGCTACGCTGTATAGGCGATAATTATTTTTCAATATCCAGTGAAAGTTACCTTGTAACGTGCTACTCTAGTAAGAGAGTCTAGAAACAATAGAAATCTGGACTAGCTGGGAGACGATATAAACCACAGCTGCCATAAGCCTATGACTGAAACAAATTATCCAATCTTGAAACCATGTGACACAAATGTGTCCCAGAAACTGATGCCAAAACACATCTATCGCCGATCAACCGCCCGGGAATTATTTGCATTCAATCACTCTAGGGTCATTGTCAGTCATGTGCGACATCAGTTCCTGGCAAAAACTGCTTGTCACATACTTGTGACGCGTGGTCGTGAAAGTGTTAATTGAAAACCAAATAGAAGTTCAGAGGGCGTGTGTTGAGTTATTCGGAGTTTGTTGCTATTAATTCCTTGTTGAATTTGATTAATTGCAACATCCCAATTGTTTTTATCTGTGCTGGAACTCGAAGTCGACACACACAAAAAAGTCTTGAATCAAATTTAACTATACTATTAGAATCGGTCTTTTAAAATCAAAACAAATCTACCTA